ACATTTTAATATTATATTATTAAACATTCTTCATTAAAGGGATTCGATACCGTCATTTTCTGTTTTTGTCGAACACACGTGTGACATAGTAATTTAGACGTGTTTTTTGCCAAACATACTAATTGATCTAATGAAGCGATTGTAAATCTGAAAACAGATTTGAATTTGTCGTTAAGTCTACTTAAAATCGACTTTCCCACATTTTTGATATTATCCCCCAAATTCCTAAAAATATCATATTAAAAAAGAGCATTTAAAAATTTTTGTATTTCAATTTTAGGAGAAGTTAAAATCAAAAAATCATAAATGTGGGAAAGCCGATTTCAAGTAGACTTGACGACAAATTCAAATCTGTTTTTAGAATACTTATCGCTTCATTAGATCAATTGGTATATTTGGCAAAAAACACGTCTAAATTACTATGTCACGCGTGTGTTAGACAAAAACAGAAAATGACGGTATCGAATCCCCTTAATGTAGGTATTTATTGATACATAGGTACTACAAAAATACCATATTATTTTAATCTAGATTCAATTTTTTTCATATTAAAATTAAAAATATATACTATAAGAGCCTGATTAAGAAGTTGGTCGCCAGTAGGCTGGGATTGATTTGCCACCCCTACGAATTATAGGTGTGGGGGGAGGTATTTTGTGGCTCCCCCAATTTAACATTGGCCGATTGGCGCCCTAGGCAAGATGAATCTATGATACGCGAACACTATTTTAGTGATACACACGAATGTGTAAAAGTTTGATAATATTAAAGTTTTTGAAAAAAAAGTTGAAGGGTTATCGAACTAGTTGACGCTTCGGGAAAACAAAATCCAACCAAAATTTTTATTTGACATGCAGGTACAAAAAGGTTCATCATCTCTGCCCTAGGCTGTAGTCTACTCAGCCTATTGGTTAATCAGGCCCTGTATATTATTAATATTTGGAAGCGATGGTGAGATTTGCAGATAAAATTAAATGTATTAAGTTGTTAGTACATTTTAAATCATGACTGGATGGCTAAAAGAGGACTGTATTCAGTGTTGGGGAAGTTACTTATTTTAGGTAATTAAATTACATTACTAATTACTAATCAAAATTGTAACTAAATTATTATTAAGTTACTTTTTTTTCATTTTGTCAAGTTACATTACTTTTGAGTTTTAAAAGTACCTAACTCAATTACAATAGAAGTTACTTTTTTTTTTCATATCACTGGAGCTTAATAACTATTTTGTCTATATGACAATACACAAATTATATAATGACAATCAACAATATGAAATTATTAACAATTAATACTAATTTTGCTGCACATTAAATATTTAATTTTAATTTTTCAAATTTATTTTAAACAACAGTGCGTTTTCAAAATTACTGTCAGTAATTTTCGGTCGCTTTTTAGTGCATACATCTCCTGCTATGCTAAACAAACGTTCAACAGAAGCACTTGAGGGTAAAGCAGTTACTCTTAGTAGAAGTAGAGTACATTTTAGAATTTACACAAAGGTTACACTTTACTTCAAAATTGTTGTTATTTACCGAAATTAACTTAAATAAATTGTTGTACATATTATCGTCAAATAGTCAATAGCTATAAAAACAAAAGTATTTTAGTAACACAAGTTCAGAAAATTCTACTTATAAATTATAATAATTAGGTATATGATATATTTTAATATTTACACTCTTTATCAATACCTACGTTCTAGAAATGTATTAATCCAAAAAAAAAGTAACGAGTAATTTAGTAAAAATTACTACAAAAAAGTAACTTAAATTACATATAAATTACTTACAATAAAATGTAATTAAATTACCATAAAATTACTTAAAAAGTAATTTCGTTACAGTAACTTGGAACTTAAGTTAAGTTACTCCCCAACACTGACTGTATTTCATGTAATGGTTAACTTGAGGAATGTTTAAAAAGTAGTAAAAACGAAACACAGATGGCACCGTGGAAAAGTTTGTAACATTACGATGTACAAAACCAGGTTTTTATCAATCAATTCGTAAAAGTAATGACTTATTTATGAATTAACTTACACGGATCTTAACTGCCGTTGTACCTAATAGTCATTCATCATTATAGTAATCCGTAAATTGGACGAATCGCGGGAAAAAAGTAATTGAAAAAAGTCCGAATAACAAGATCCAAAGTACATACATAAGTAATAAGCCCAAAAATCCCGGTATATATGTATAACAATATTTAAAATAATAAATAAATAATCAATGATTATAATAATTTATTAGGTATTTAGATGCTTATAGTCATATTTCCATCATATGCATAATATAGTATAATGATGCCTCAGTTTAGTTAAGTATTAACTATGTAGTTTCCTTTCTTAACGGATTCCGGAATAATTGTTTGTATAACAATATTAAAAATAATATAGGTATTTAACCGATATATTTTGTCAATATTGGTAAATTATATAGTGTTAATATTAAAACTATTTGAAAGTTTGATTGTACATCACATCATATTTTTCTTTTACCTAATTATATGTACCGGACTTTTTGGTAGTATAATAAATTATACTGGCAGTAGCAAAAACACCATCGTTGATTGATATCTACACTCATTAGTTTTCATAAAGATATAGTATAAACCAGTAGTGTTTTTCAAAGATAGAGAAATGGGTGGTCGAAGTCAGTAGCGGATTTCCAAAATTTTTCTGAGTGGTTTCCTAAAAAATAATATTTATTTCAAATGTACTAACCGTGGTTAAGATAAAGAAATAATTTCAATGAGTTGGAATTTGTTGTAAACTTAGACTTAGGTACTGGTACTACTACTTACAAGCTAGAACACCGATGTTTTATCGTAGAAAAACGTCACCGAGAAACTCTTATACTAATTATTAAAAATGAAATGTATACTATACATTCACCAAACGGTTAATCACTCAGAATTTTGTATTGACCCCGAAACAGGAGCACACACTCAACGAATTAAAGGCTTGTGGATAATTAAAAACTATGTAAACTATGTAATTAAACATAAATAATAATCATAATACTCTTAATTTTAAATGTGAAAGTCGTACGTATGTAATTTTGTCTTAAAATAATATCAATTTCATTGGCAGCATAATTAAATTTACAGTTCAACTCTACTACTGCAGTTGATATTCAATTTTGAACTGTTAATATTGAATGACAATTTTCAGTCATATTATATACCTATTAGTTATTACCTACATGGCTAAAACTGTAGGTAGGTATTTATGCTTGCACGTTATGTTTTTAAGCACACACACACTATCAAAGAAGTGGAATTGGCGTATGTTTCATGGGGGTCAGCATAGTTTTCCTAATATTATATTATAATTTAGTTTACTTTTTTGCTGGACAGATGTTTGCTGTTGAATTTTTGCCATCCTGTTTTCTACTTTTTTGGTGAATTTTCCTAAAATGTTCTTTCATATAAACCCTGTCCTGACTCCTGACAATTACAAAGATAAAAAAATCAGCCAAATCGGTATAGCCGTTATAATGAATTTACTTTCAAGAACCCATATAATTAGATTGAAAGTTTTCTCAAAATAGTTTTATACATTTTAGCGTTTCAGATCAAATTTATCCATACTTAAATATTACATATAGGTAGATTAAATTACATAGATGAGTGTTTTCTTCTAGGATAAGCATTAGATAACATGACATTTTATTTAGTACTACGGATATACTCAGTCCGTGTTTAGTACTAAGGTTTATCAAATTATAATTTAACTAAATCTATAAACCAGTGATAAACCACAGACTAAGGATATATATGCTATCTAACGTGCCACTTAACATCTTTAATTGTGGTCTATGATACACACCTTGATTTAGTAAAAGATAAAAAATAAGAAGTTGTTATCTAGATCATATAAAGCTATTAACTAAAATATAACTTAATAAACCCAAAGCAGGTTTTAGTTAACATTGTACGAAATCAAGCGTTTGTAAATTAATTTGTAAGTATTCATCATATTTTTAATTTTAACACCTAAAAGCATAATTCAGCTTTTAGATGCCAAGCATCAACATTTTTGATTAGCCTAGTAGGTCTACAACTACATAACAGCAAAAGAAAGCCTTTACGTTTTAGAAAAGTAACTAGAAATTCAATGAAAAAGTTTTGAGTACAACCACACACATTTTTTATGGGATTTAAGACAAAACTTTGACAACTATTGCCTAATTATTTTTTATTAACTTTATTTTAAACTATAATACCATTCAACTAAAAAAACATTTTTCAGATACTATTACATTCGTAAATTTATTTGAGAATATATTATTATTACTATATTATAGCTTTAACGGTACTTAAGAAGCTAAATAAACATAGCACCTAGTGGCTAGTACATACCTTAGTTAAAATCGGTTACACAGTATGCAATTGAGTAGCTTCAAAGGCTGAGAATATAACCAACACTAAATTTAATATATTTTGTAGGAAGTATAATGTTATGACTTATGTTTATATCATAGTTACTAATTCATACGCTATAAGACCATACATATCCAACTGGGCTTCTCAGCTTCCCTGTATCCCTATCCACTTATGACTCATGGATTTGTCTTGCTAAATCATAAATAGATTGTTATTTCAATTTGTCACGCTGCCACAGGATTATAGTAATCATTATATTATAATATTAGTAATGAGTGATATAATATGAAGAAAACTATAATAGGCAAGTGGTATTTGTTAATTGAAGGATAGGCACAAATATACTGTCTTCAAACTTAAGGTTTTTGATTTTTTGAATTTTTTAGGAATATTTGAAAATAACAATAATCTGTATAAATATATTTAATAATTGTATTGATCTAATTATTCATTATTCATTGTGAACTGTATTGACAAGTACAATATAATATTTTAAACACATTTTCTCAAATTATTAGATGGCATAAAACAAGTAATCTATTTTTAATTTTAGAAACAGAAATTAAAATAAATGAAGAAATGTAGCATTATAAACAGAAAAGTTCATATAATAAGATATAAAATAAGGTATATTAAATAATACATTTTATAAATAGTAAGGCAATGAACATCTTATTTAACATGCATATTATATTAGTATGTTTGTCTTTATTTCTTGGGTTTTTAAAATGAAAATGTTTTCTTTAAAAAATACATTAGTCAGGGCATAAATGTGATTAGTAATCTTGATAGTTGTATGTTACATTATATCAACAAATTAAATACTTAAACTATGATATATTTTTATAAGTTTTTAATGATACACAACTCAAAATATTTAGGCACTTGGATTAGATAATTTCAACACAATTAACATAGCATTACATAATATAACATGTGTATAATATATTAAGACATTTCTAATGAGTTGTGCCGGCACAATTATTTTATTATAATTATAAATATGACATAAATACCCTATATGGAAATATGTTTTCAGAGTTAAAGAAATAATTTTGGTTGTTATAAATTTGTGTACAAATCTACAACTCATAATCATAGTAAATGAAATTAACAAAATAGTATATCACTTAAAAATATTATGATATATATAGAAATTTGATCACAGTTTTAATTTCGATTAATATTTAAGACAAACAAACAAAAAACATAATTCCCTAATGAATTATGATAATCATCATGGAAAATATTTTATGAACATTTTCTAAACAATAATTTAATGATGCAATATTTGTTGAGAATTTTTAAAAAGATAATATTTATGTGCATGTTCATTATAACTTTTAATCATTGATACTTGGCCCAAGCAGGAGTTTCAACTTTTCTAGCAGCAGGAGCTACAGTTTTTTTAGGATTACTATTGCCTTGAAGAGTTGGAAACATTTCTTCATTTTTAACATCTAAACTAGTCTTACTTTTAGGTGTGCTTCTGTGTCCACCTAAATGACAGATAATTAATTAAAAGATTTTAGTATTTAAAGTGAAAAATTAAATTAACAGTTTACCTTGAAAATTGTTCCGCTGAGCTGGTGGAACATATACATTTTTCTGTACTTCAGCAACTACTGGAGGAGCAGCAACTAAAATAATTTAGATGATATTATACCACACAATTTGTTTCATATTTTATATAATTTTTAGTGAAAAAAGTTGTAAAATTAATTTATACACAGAAAAGTTACAATTGACAGTAATATGAATTCCAACTATACAACCAAATGTTTATGTTAAGGTATTAAAACTAATTGTAATATTATTTGATGATATTTAATAATGCTAGGAGTGAGGCACATTATGTATTTTTTGTAGGATAGTAATAAATGTATACAAATATAAGTATGAGTATTTCTTATATGACACTTCAATTATTTCAATATCATTTAAAGTTAGTTAATAGGGATATGTCAAGATTTGACTTAATGCCACATACACATTATACTTCTATATATATCAAAAATATATTATTTAATACAATGTTTCTTAAACTGTGTTCCGTGGAACCCCTAGGGGTTCCACGGAAGACACTTCAGGGTTCAGCAAAACTTGTGGTTTTTTTTAAAAATGTTGACACATAACTTTTATTGCAAATAATCCTTACATAAAATGACACATTGAAAGTATTGAAACAAAGTAGTGGTTCTAATTGTTGAGCTATAATAACTTTTTGTTAAAAGCTCAATACAAAAGAGCTAGAAAAAGTTGGAGTTCCACGGTGAAAGTGCACATAAAAAAGGGTTTCACGGATAAAAAAGTTTAAGAAACACTGATCTAATACAACATTATTTAATGGACAAATTGTGTTCTTCATTAAGGGATTATAAAATGCAACAACATTAAAAATGTCATGTATAGAAATTTCACAGTACTAAATACTTAATAAACGCCATTATAAAATTTAAATACAATTTGTGACAGAACATTATTTTAAAGGTAGTAATTATTTGGTTCGAATAAATATGCTAGGTTGTTATAATTATTTTTAATTGGTTGTACAAACTAGGATTAAAATACCACACAAGTACATATGAGTGTTGATTTTATTGATAGTTGAATTAATGTACACTAACTATCTATCATACATCTGCAACTAGTCTATAAACTTAGTTCTTTTTTTTTTAAAAACGGACAAATTTTACAAATAAAAAAGGTTTGCTTCATAACGATTTTGATTAGTTAGACTTTAAATATTATATGAATTGTGAGAGTTATTTTATCTCACTTTGAAAAATTGAAAGATAATAAAGTTTAAAAATATAGAGATCAAATGTTGAGGTCAATGTAAATGCCATTTTTGCGGCTAGGGTATATTTAGTATAATTTATATATAATTCGCGATCTAATTATTTTTTTTTTTTATGTTTAATAATATGTCCAATGAAATTTTTGCAAAATCAATATTTAACTACTCATTTTTCAGACTGACAATATAACTGTATTAATATTGGTATGGTTAATAATTAATTATTAAGTAACTGCTAAAATATGCACCTCATAGTCCCTGCACAAAGTTTAAAAGAGTATTATTTTTGTTTACAATATATATGTTTTCTTTTATATAGGTACTTTATTTATGTGGTTATATGTTTATTTTTCCATCATTTTTTTTTATTTTTGTTCACTGACTTCTGTAGCTGATAGTGCTTTTGCCTAAACCTTCTGAAAATTATTAATTGTTTTGCTGAATGGTAATGAACAGAATATCCCGAAACGCAATTTATATACGTTTAAGAGTTACCCGGCCCGCAATTATTTATGTATTATATGGGCGATATGGCCATGGCCTTACCTCTGGAATATTCAACATTTCAATGGGTGGTTACTAGTTGCGTCCCGTGTTAAAAATTTCTTCCGAATTTTTTTTTATAATTATGTTATTATAATATTTTTTAAATGAATACATGCCGCATACCTACAATTCTTTTTAGTACAGGAATATTAATCAACATTATTTTATACATTTTTAGGGAAACGAAATTCATATCCATCAATTACAAATAAACAGCATTTTTTTCACTTAAAATTTCATTTGACATAATAAATAAATTAAAATACACAGAAAGAAAACGGAACGTTCTAAACAGTAGTAAAGCGACGACTAAAGGTGTACTTATTTTTATTTACATTATACTGTATTACGGTGTTTATATTTTTTCAGTCGAGATTAAATTATCTAGAATTAAAAACACCCGGGCCGCAACTAGTCCGTACCGAAAAAACACTCGGACCGCAATTCGAATTAGACATTTTTTCGTAGATATATTTGGGACGCAACTAGTATGCAGCCATTTCAAAAGCATATCTTATCTCATCGTTAACTTATCTAGATAAAATGAATCCCAGAAAAAATAGTTAGTAGATAAATTGGTTCCGCGATGATTTGTGTACATTTTAAAAGTGGTAAATTCAGTCCCGGGTATAAAGAGGTAATAGGTGAGTTGAGTCCCGGTTTTAAATCCACCTCACCTACTACCTTTTTATACCCCAGATTCAATTTACCACTTTTAAAATGTTCACAAATTATTGCGGAACCAATTTACCCATCCCGGAAAAGTGGTATGTCAATTGGGGACTTGTTAGTTGTCGCCCCGCCAACGAGCCGTATAAAATTAAGTACTCTCAAGTCATTAACTTTTAGAAGTATTTCTAAAATATTATTCGAAATCGATTTTTTTGGCGCTTAATTATTCTATAGAAATGTGTATGGTAAATTTAAAACCGTTAAATCTTTTATTGAGCTCAATAAATAATTTGTTGAAATCAGACGCGATATTTTCCCTAATAAAATAGTATTGATTTTTACTAGATTAAAATGTAGAACAGTTTCCACTAAATTAATATTTTGATTTTGTAAAATCAGCTTACTATAATAAATTACATTACTAATCAGTAATAGTTCGAAAAGATAACTTTCTGATTCGACAACGCGTGTGATTTTTTTTCTAAGATTTTTCTTATCACAGGATCTGAACTGACCCGAGTCTCAAAATTATTAATTTATGTCGAACATTAATATTATTATATGAAGGTCCCAAACGGTCAAACGAGAGCCTCATATAATATAATTTAAAATAATATAAAATATTTGTTTAAATTATTTAAATGCATAAATATAAATGTAATAATTAATACCCTATTAAATCCATCATATTTTTTTACATTTAACATTTTTGGCGTCGCATATTTTGCTTCAGTTTAACTATCGCATAACATAGATACATATGCCATATGCGGTATCCGGACAATTTCCCCCCGACTGTTTTTGGCGTAGTAGGACATTTTTTCCCCGAAAAATGTTCCGATGCGGACATTTCCCCCCATTTTTTCATAAATATAATAAGAAATAAAAAAATTGTATATAAGTAAATAAGGTCGATTTTGACAACTCTAACATTCCTTCGGGAGACGCAAAAACAATTAATCGATTGTTATTGTTTTCATTATCAAATAATAAAAATTGTTTTGGTTCGGCACCTCCTGTAGTAGCCCAATTACTATTTATTTTCAATTCCGATAAAGGGCATAGTGAAGGATACTTTTAAATTTTAATATAATATAATAAATATAATCTAATAATCTAAAAATATATATCTACTATAATAGGTAATTATAGTATAATTGATTATATTTATAAAAAAAAATTATATTTTACTGAAAAAAAATAATTTCTAATTAAATAATAAATAATAATCTTAAAAAAAAAATGGGGGGAAAATGTCCGGGGGGAAACTGTCCGCCATTCGCCATATGCGTGTACGTTTTTACCTTAAATAAAAGATTGAATTAACGTATAATTAAACTTAAATTATCTATGTTTTCTCCTAGGCCTTTTACGATATTTTAATTTTTAACGGAGTAGGTATGTAAAGTATTGATATTTAAAAATGCATAATTTGATTAAAAATTAAAATATTGTAAACCAAACCAACGAGAGAACACAAATAATTTTCTCACTTTTAAGTTCAATGATGGGACAATTCACTCAAATTTTGAAGTGAACAACCGAAAGCCAATTTGTTAATTTGTAAAGCCAGTCTTCCCACGTGACTCCTGTTAGCTTAGTATCATAAACATGAAGTGGGAATGGTGAGGCTGGGACGATTGGTACGCAAGGGTCGGGCCTCGCAAACCGCGTGTAATCGGCTCGTAGGCGAACTTTTGAACCTCGCGGCTCGTCATATGCGTCCTGCGGCGCAGTTCCTAGGTAGTCAAGGGCCATGTGCCACGAGCTGAGCCGGGATTTCATCGATTCCGTCAGAAATTTTTATGGTAGGGGATAAGGTTTAATATTGATTCCGCCAGTACAAGTAGTCTAAAAAAGACCTATCAATTCCGCCACCGAACCGGCAGCGAGAAAATAATCTTCCGAAAAAAGATTAGTTTGATTTCACTTACATAGTTACATAGCTATATTATTAGTATTATGTGAAATACCTGAATACAAATATAAATCATAATTTGTGTTGGATTTATTATATTAATTATTTATTTTAATTTATTGTATCAGTAACTGGTGTATTATTTTGTAGATATATTATTATTATCATAATATGGTTAAGGCATGGTTATAGGGTATGTACATTTTGTTTATAATATTTCTATTTTTATATAAGTACCTATATACTTAAGTTATTATTTCTAGTTACTTACATAAAAATAGAAATTAATTTAAAATATGTTTTCAGAGTTCTGTCAGAAAGCAATTCAATAATTCTAAATTTGCACAAACTATTTAAAGTAGCATTAACAATACCTAAAGCTGCACATTTTCATTAACATTTCTTTTTAAACTTATTTGTTAATTAAACACAAAACACTTACCACAATATAGTATTAAGACAATAAGGTCGTTATATGGTTATATAATCATTATGTTATTACAATAATTATCACAGATTTTGTTATTATTACTAAATACGTAATATAACAAATTTTTTATACTATTATTACATACACTGAAGTTGGAAAAGTTACAATGGCTTAAGTTTATTTCTACCAGTACCATGTACAAAAAGAAAAAGAAAAAATTGAAAAAACTTTTAAAATTTTTGAGTTCAAAATATCAATGAATATTTTCAAGTTTACAGCTCTAACAACACCTATCACTCATCAGAGTTCAGCTACGTATGAGAGGAGTCACTTCTATGAAAAAAATAAAAACTGGGCAAGAATATGGATGGGTTCAGTAGTACATCTATAACTTACATTTATAAAGATAAACTAACCCAAAAATATTAAGAGAGGATATTTTTGAAGTACAATTGCGAGCAGAAATAGAAGCATTTCATTAAAATAAAAAAAATAAAATTATATAATAATTAATTGATATAATATGCTGTATATTTGGATATTTAAAAATTCCAGGTATCTAGGTACATTCATAATAGTCTATTATATTCCAAGTAAATTTGAAAGTATTTTTTTTGGTTACTTCAACTTTGATATTAGTTATTAAATTATAATAACTGATACGAATAATTTTACAACCCATCAAGTATTAATTATTCAATTTTACCAGTTATTATCACATTTAACATCAATTTAATTTACTATGCTTGTTTCATAAATTAACTCATTAGTTTTATATATCAGTAAATAGTATGGTATGTATACTATGAATATCTTATGAAATCAAATAATATTATTCTAAAAAATATCTTATAATTTAAAAATATTACAGTAACCTACATAGTTTTCAATTAAGTCTCTCCTGAATTACTCAACACACATATTAACACCTATTAATCTGAATAAAAAAGGTTATGAGCACCCAAATACATCTAGCACAAGAACCCGGAACCAAAATACATTTTTTGGTTGCAAAGCCTTGGAATAATATAAGAGAATACTTACCTAATTTAATAACTATCATAATATTTAAAAATGAGTTTATTCTAAGTTTATCTCTCCACCTCAAAATATAATATTTGAATTCAGAAGGTAAAAATAAAAAGTTACCTTTTGGTGGTGGAGGAGGTTGTTCGGGTTCGTTTACTTTCCAAGGCCCTGCATTTTTTCGTTTTGGCACCATTTCTCCTGCCTCATTTTCTTCAAATTCTATTTCATCATCTTTTTCATTGTTATCCGTACAATTAGAAGGACAGTCAGCTGTCAAATTTTGCATTTTAAGTGTTGTATAGTCTTTTATTTCTTCTTGGTATTCATTCCATTCTTCTTCCAGCTGTTAGAAAAAGTATTTTCAACAAAAATATTTGAATGCAAATTCTAATATACTAATACTAACTACAAATAGAATAAAAATAAATTTGACACGTATGTTTTGAGTAATATACATTAGACAACTAAAAAACATTTCAACTGCCAGTAGGTACCTCATTTATCTACTATAAATTAGTACCTATGTCCAACTGTTGTGCTTTGTAAGGGTCATGGGAAGAGATAGCCCATATTTAATAATATAGCATTTATTGATGATAGTGGATAATAATAAAAGTACCTTCATATTTCATTTAGTCTCATTGCAGTTATTACAATTTTCTTAGATTATGATTTATTAAAACAATTACATGGGTTATTAAGCTAACTTGTACGATTTAAAGTAAGTACCGTCAAATGTACAATAGTCAATAATAAAGTTAAAGAATACTTAAGAAACACGATGATTGAAGGTACCTACTAGATAAAATTTAAAATTTACAAGAAAATGGTACCTTATCACAAAATAACATATGACATCACCTACTTCTAAATGACTGATGGTATTTTAGATAAAAAATAGGTAGGTATGCAATACATATTTTAGTTTACATATTGCATGCGGTTTGAATGATTAGAGAACATTAACTTTGATTGATACCTTCTTGGAAGAAGTTTTGTTGTCGTTTTCAGTAGCATAATTATTCTGAATTGTCAGCGACCTTTCTGATCTTTCCTTCTTCTGTTTGTCTTGTTTTTTTTGTAACTCTTCTTGTCCGGTAGCCATATTATCTGAGGAGGTGGCAAATTTTTGTCCTTTGGTTTTCTTGCGGTCTTTCTTTGCAAAAAAATTATCCAGATCGGCCATGATTGCTTCTGAGTTCTGCGGAGCTGGTAAAAAATAAAATAAACATAAAATAAATTACCTAATAAATGAGAATCCATCTTTGCAAGACCGGCCAATATAGAAGGACCGTTTACAGTGGCACGGCCGTTACTAGTAATAAAATAACCCTATAACTTCTCGAATGTCGACGACGAATTTTTATTAAAATGTAATATGTGAAACGATCGGAGAAAAAAATAAAAATTAATTTACCAAAATATTCGTTGGAGGTAGGACTAGGTGCGGACTGCGGTATAACGGGCTCGGGCACACCGAAAACGGGAGAATAATATTATATTATTAATAATTAATTACGTGTTCTCGACGAGCGAGAGTGTGTGTGCGTACCAGTAAATAATAGGGTAATAGGTATTATTATTATTATTAATTGCTGAGCGATCGGCGAACGGTATTCGGGAGACGATATATCTCGCCACCTCGGTTGTTAACGTGGAAACGCGACAAATCACATGTACCACCACTTGCGAACGGCGACAGGACCTCAGGTCTAGTCTGTGTCCGATTGGTTATCATCGGACGATCCCGTTATCGTGACGATTCCGAAACTGATTCGCCGCACTGCCGGCGTGAACGTAGAAACGATTCCGGATCCGGGGCCGCCCGTACATACTTTTATTATTACTGCTTTTTTAATTCTCCAGGCGGCGACGATTTCTCGGAAACCCAATCGGTCAACACTGGTAGTGGTAGTGGCGGTAGTCGTGGTAGCCGCAGCGGTAGCGGCGGGCGGCGTCGGCAGTCGTGTCTGGTAGTTGTAGTAGTCGTAATTGTTGTGAGAGTAGCGTCTGTAATATTATTATTGTCGTTGTTGGCCGCCCGGATAAACGCACTCACACGCGCACGATCGGCGGACGATATTTGATATGTTTTCATTCTAATTACGATAAAACGCGTACTTACGCACGAACATTCTATGGGTGTGTGTGTGTGTGTGTGTGTGTGAACTCGAAAATTATATTGTATCATATAATAGATAACACGCTTCGAGTTTGCACTTGGCAGTGCGTGCGTAACATCAGATCTGCCACCGACCGATTTTTGGAAATAATCTAATAAATTATACAAATAACTATTATCACTTTTAGCGTGAGTCTGTGTGTCCGGTGCCCGTATATTTTTATAAATAACCCAAAAGGGTTGGTTGTGAGGCGAACCGGTTAGGAAAAAATAGAAAACACTACCCGACTCGACTATTCTGACTACTTGTCGTGTTGGTCCGGCGACGATAATACAATCGCAGTAAGTACTCAGCTATTTTACATGTACTGAATTATTACTGTCCGAGCACTATGCACCGTACCGTGACGTCCAGATCTACCTTCCTATTTAAATTTGTAGTATTTTTGGTTTTTGTATGAATTGTACAAGTATTGACGATAAGGTTGCGACTTTCTGTACATTTCCAAAACTGTTTGATTCTACCCTATTCTACATTGCAAAGTATTTGCAATACAACATTTTGCTGATTCCCTTAAATTTTTAATGCTTGAAAACCCATAATTTTAGTCTCATAGGTTACTATCAGTCATTTACAACACCGTGTGATGAATAGGATGTACATAATGTACTGATTTAATTATTGTTCTGGTTAGCTGAATTTTGTATTGTATTGTGTTTTTAATGTTTCAATACAGCAAGGTGCATATATTATTATATATATTTTTTTATGAATCTCTTATGTACCTATCTAATTATTCAAATAACATATGACTCATATGATATGAGTTGTAATGCATTGACTGATATTCTGTATTCCATCAATATTATTTTTAATTATTTTTTTTTAACTTTATCTTTAAGTAGATTGAAAAGGAGTATTATTTGGTGTTTGTTTATTTAGCATTGTGTATTTAGTAACCATAATGTTTTAAAAATAAATTCATGAGCAACTGTGCTAAAATACATTAAATTGTTTAAATTAATTAATAAATGCTGATAAGTGTATGGCCTCAAATAGGTATGTTAAATTATTTGTACACAATATGAAAGTGTAAAATTTATTATTAATTAATCATAAGAACAAATTATTTGTTTATTATAATATTAAATAATATATAATGCAACACATAATTAACATTTAAGAAATGGGTAAAAAACTCTTATCCCCTCTCTTTCTTATCTTATGTTTGTTATTATTAGATGCAGGAATTGTACCTATGCATTTGAATTTATTTTGCACAAATATGAGGGTTGAAGACAAGCTGGAAGTGTTGGTATTTCCAATTGAACTGATTTTGTAGACATTTTTTTTTTGGTTACTTTATACAATCGAACCTAAATTTTGACTAAATTGCATAATAAGCATTTTTCTCACATTCTTAGTGGTAATTATGTTTATATTTTTAGTTCTGATTTTTAATTATTTACAATAAGTAATAACACTACATTGATAGGAAATTACTTGATTATAAGTCATTCATTTATTGGAATATGTCAAACATTTTTGATAAAATCAAAGTTACCTTGAAATGCTAATGTGATTTCTTTAAGCATTTAGTTTTTTTGTTTACAGATTATAATGCTGAAAGATCTAGCGGTCATTATTTAATATTTGATATATTATTACATTTTTAATTAATTGTACTTACCTACATAGTATATAAATTTATCGATAAATTACAAATTACCAACCATAATTAACGTTTATGCCTTAGCTTTTTTTTATTAATTCATCATTATAATCTATGAAATATATTATTTACTCTCTAGTTATTTAATTTACCTATTATATTATATTTTATTATTATGTTGGTTCATAATAGGCCATTTTAGTTTTACAGATTTGCATCATATTTTATGTATCTTTTAGCCTTTTGTGCATATATAATTCTGGTCTTTAGTCTTTATTCATAATCTTATAAAATAACTATTTATCTATTGAATACTATTGTTATTGTTATTATTATTATTATTATTATTATTATTATTAGATGAATGGTTTGATGGTATGACATTACACTGCAAGTTGCCTTCCTACATCCGCTATGGTTATAGTAACTAGAGTATGTTTAAACAATGTTTTTCTATTTATTCTAAATAAATCCACTATTAATTAAAAAATATTTCAGGGAGATTATATTTGGATAGAGCCAATTTCTGGACGAGAATTTGATGTTGCTATTGGTGCTAGAGTTATTTCGGCCGAAGGAAAACGTATTCAAGTTAAAGATGACGATGGAAGGGTAAGTTAAAAATATTAAATTTATTAAATTGTAATAAATTAATGATACAGTATTAAAAGAAACAAATATTTGCTTGATGTATAATAACAATGCTCACATAATTTATTCATTCTTCAAGTTCTTATTTATATTAATTATTATTATGAGATCATATTATATAATCTCATGTGTTTGAGTTAAACCATTTACATCACCTTTTGCCTATTGTATTATATTATATAAATCCTAAAGGTATTAATTGTATGTTAATTTTGATATAATTTAGTCGATAATACTAAGTTACTTAAGTTAGCTGAATCAAATAATTTCAGTGTTAACCCAATAACAAAAATTAAATGTTTAATACATTTCTTATGTTATACAATGTTTTTAAATTTTTTTAAATTCTTTTATTTTTATTGTGAATGCACATGTGGATGTTTTTAACTTAACCATAAACCATAATATTGTCTTTTCTATCTTAGTTAAAAATAAAATATAGGGATATTTTTATTATTATTGTCTTTATTAATTATAACAGTACATCACAACAATTAACAGCAAAAAATGTGTTTAAATTTTATAAATTATGACGGTTTGCCTGATGATGTATCAAAGTAAATAATATTGTTGATGACAAAAAAATGCTGTTGTTTTTGAAAATTCTAGCAAATTCAATAATTTTCTATAATACATTTTAAAATTTATTATTTTGTGTCAATGTGAAACGGTCCAAATACGTTACAGAGAATGATTGGCTATTAGGAAAAACTAAATTTTATATTTATTTAAACGGCATCTAAAGAGTATAATTATGGAGATGTCTTAACAATAAACTGTAGTTAAATTTTTTTTAAGTTTTGAGTTTTTTGGTTTTGAAAAACTATTAGTTAATATATTTTTTAAATAAAATTTCTTAAGGTTGTTGAAAAGGGGTATTTTTTTGTCGTTATTTAGAACAATAAGTGAAAGAAAAATAATTTACTTTCAGAAGTCCAATTAAAATGTTGAAAAAATATTTGAATTTGTTTGATTTTGTCTGTTTTGTAAGAAATTAATTTTTAATTTTATTCTCTTTTGACTACAGTAAAAGTTAATTTTGCAATCAAATGAAAATTCTTTTAGTACTTAACTAATTATATGATACGAAAAAATCAAAATTCCATTTCCTATGAAACCTATAGAGAGAAGAGTAAAAGATTCAAATACGTTTTCAAAATTGAAACCAGGCTTTTGGTGATGGGTGGATTTTCCTTTTGATTTTGAGGCACAAGAGTTGAAACTTTACTACCTACTACAGACACAATCTCGTAGTATTCACAATGAATTTAGATTATTGCCTGAATTTGATCCCTTAAAAATGCTTTATATTCAGTAACCTTAATAATATGATTATTATCAATTAAAAAAAAAAACTTTTTCTACGTAATTGGACTTTTGGAAGTAATTATATTGATTAAATATTTATTGATAATATTATAGATCCCTAAATTATAACAATTAGTTGTACCATTCTCAAAATTAAAAATAAATTGTAGTATTCAAATAATTAGCTAATAAAGATTGATTTTGTGTACAGCAGAACTAAAGCTTCCATATTTTCAAAATTTTTTGTTATATTTTCAAATGATTTTCTATCGTGTTATCGATTTTAAATCTGTCTTATTTGTGAAAATTGCATTTTAAATATCTTCAATTTGTCTTATAATTATTCCATGCACAAACATTAACCATTTGACTGATCCATACGTACCATTAAGTTCCTATATATATTTAAATATTATCATTTGTCAGTAACAGTACAATTTTAGGAAACCTTGGCTTGCTTTATTTTTAACTCTAAAAATCAAAATGGTAAAAAATTAGTTAAAAACATTTTATTTTATGTAGCACAGACAAGAGCATAAATAGTGTAGCAGTGAAAAAGTTAAAATGACTGGGTTTTTTTTAAGGTAGTCATTCAAGAAATATACTAAAAATACATTATAACTTTCCTCCGTCCTCCAGCATGCCAAACTTCTTATCTTTGCTGATGATATGAAAATCCTTTTCCAAATCAAATCCATCTCTGACTGTCTTCTTCTACAAAACGACTTTCAGCGATTAGTGACATGAGGTGAATCTTTGGCACTAGCTCTTAATATTCCTAAATGCTCAGTAATGATCTTATGTCATATTAATACTGTAATCAAATATACCTATTCAGTCAATGATACCCCCTTGACATTTTGCAAAGATTCAGTAAAGAACTTGGGATTTACTCTAACACAGAATCTGTGCCCTAATATGCATATCCAGACAATCTGTTGTAAGGCTCTCAAACTACTAGGTTTCATATGTCGTGTCTCTGCTGACTT